ATGTAATACTATATACTGTATGAGAGAGTTATGCAATAGATAGTAGAGAACTGGTAGTAATGTTGCGGTCATAACTGATATTCAATGAGATTTTTAGGTCTGATTTGATCTGTTTTGAGGCCACATTACGTTTGAAAGATTCATACATTTGTTGCATAACGTGGTTACCTGTTGTCCCCCCAAATAGCCCCTAAAACTGCCTTTTATGTGCAACACTATTGCATTCAATGATTGGGTCAACAACTTCATGAAGAGATGCATCATTTGAATGACTCGATGGGAACTCATATATAATATAAATGTTTGGTAGCCATTCCTAAACTATGAGAGCCCAGGGAATGGGGGGTCGAGTCGAGTATGGTCTCAATGAAAAAAGCTCTTGTAATATGAGTTGAAAAATATTTTTGATAAATAAATTTTGTTTTCATATCGTATTTATAATAATATAAGGTTTATGGCATTGTTTAAATTAAAAATTTCTAAATTTTATAAGCATTATATACTTTTGCTTTTAATTTAAGCTAATTATTTATAATATTTGAGAGGTAGGGCCAGTTAGTAATGAAGCCTATGARCAACAAAAGCGAACCACTTTTTTCAGGAGCAACGGGAGCATCAATTTTGATCATTTCATTGCATTGTAATATTGCCTCAAAGGTATAACAACGCCCAGACTAACAGCTCTCTAACTCTAACACTACTACTACTGGTAAGTACTACTATATAAAGTCATATATCAATTGCTAATATCAATGTATTTCTCAGAAATGTATTCAACGGAAGGAAAAGAGTTACCAAAATATAAAGCAACACTCCTTTGGTGTACTGATAGTATGTATCGATTAGTGTCCCGTCCCGTAGAGTCCGGTAAAAAATTGTCGGATTGTCGTCAAACAGGACGGCATTAGGGAAAACAATCTAAATAAATGTTAACTCATTTTATGAGGAAAAGTAGTGTATATGTCGTTATAAAATTGTGGATATCTGTGTGCACTGATAGTGGCGGACGTGTGTGTCAGTCGCGCCCTATGACATGACATCATTGTATTGACATTATATTTGCGTTAATTTCTAGCACAGCATTCACACTGAGATACAGGGGTTGACGATAGTTAAGAATAGCCTCAACCATAAAGTCATTGCATAACTGTGTGTATGTGTTGTCGTATCTGTGAGAATAAGATTTGTTTGACGAAGCAATGGTGAAGTAGACCCCCTACTGACCCCCACCGGATCAGTACAAGAGTACATCAGGTGTACAATAAATTCCTTTTTGTTTAGTTTTTTATATTTTCATGACCTTCACTACTGGTTTGAATGGCTTCTCTATGGACACGCCGTCAGCAATATTTAGTGGTCCGAGAAGTGGCTCTCCTCTTATCTAAGGCTATACACATACAAGTAATAGTTGAGTAATAGTCGACAATATATACAAACATTGGATGCGTTGGGCCTTCAGTTGAATTGTTTCCCCCTTTAATGCAAAACTGCTTTTCCCCTCAACATATGAGCTCTCCTTTTGTATAAACCTTGAGATGCAATGAACATAACAGACATGAGAGAGAAGTTGTGCTTAAAAAAGAAACCAAAACTTCTCGTCAAAGACCAACTGCGCGGCCAAAACACAACACCAGAGCATTAGGTTTAGGCGCAGCACTCAATTGTTGCTGTGATCGCACTTTTTTAGATATATATTCACGCTTTACACACATATTGCATGAGAGAGAGAGAGAGAGAGAGAGAGAGAGAGAACAGGAGAAAGATATGAGAGATATTTATAAGAAGGAACATTCAATTTGATAGAAGAGGGACTGCAATGGGGGTCCTTATAAAGGGAGAGGGGTCACAATCAAACGGACCAGCACTAGCACTAGCACTAGCATCGCATCACTTCATGGATGGACCCGAACCACTGCTAAAGGAAGTGCAGCTGTAGGGGGTTCGGGACGCAAGAGATAGAGGGGTCAATAGTACTGCAGAATGTGATGCCAAGGAAGGCATGCAATTCAACATAAGTAAATGATTTGATATAAAAGCAGCTGTTTATCTATCAAACATGTTCACCAGTTATGGTGTGGCTATGACTATGCCCGCTATGCTCCGGTCAGACCAACAAATCTAATAATAGCAGCGCTTATGTAACTCAACATTTGCTCTTAAATTCATTGAATAAAACTACTTTCCTTTCAATACGACCTTTCATTTTGGACCCCTTTATACAAAAGGAATCTTTTATTAATAATAATACCGAAAGTCTGCAAATTTTATCCAAAAGATTTATAACATTTATAATAAAATAATTTTAAATAATAACAATTTTCAATATATCACCCATTTTTAGTGATTTACAATTTTTCATACATGTATAATAAAAAAATATTGTGTGAAAAAACTTTTAATAATAATAATACAAATGAAATGAAATGCCGGCCATCAGATTATTATGCCCTCACTTTATATGACAATTATTTCATAGTAAATGACTGTGTGTTTGGTACATATCCTGGCAACAAATACTAACAACTAATGTGCAAATAAAAATTCAATATATATTTTATATAAAAATTTGTTTAATTTAAAGTAGTGGACATTCACACCAGTCACAGATATTGCATATATACAGTACATACATATACAATACACACATCTGGCAAATAATATAGCGACCAATAAATGTACCAATCATATCATATCATATATAAATATAGTTATAGAGACAGTCTATGGTAGTTGGAAAGGTAGGTAGAAAGATAGTACAGTCAATAATGGTACCTGCATTTATTAGGGGCACTCTTATTATTTAATGTAAAAGTAATACATGTATTAAAAAATAGAGAATCAAAATGCTATCATATTTATTGAGTGGTATATGTGTGCCGATGTGTTTGCAATTATTATATTATATAAAGTAATGTTTGCCATCGCAGCTGCTTATAGTCAGTCATATAGTGAACAAACAGTTTATAATAGACTTGAAAATTAAAACAAAACTCAATGGAGAGTATGTATGGAGACTTCAAACAAAGTATATGTATATTAAATTGTTATACCATTTCAAGTCTATGTGTGTGTGTGTGAGTGAGTGAGTGATGGGCAGCGCCAATAAAATTGCAAATAAAATTCACCTGGGCTATTACGATACATTCATTATATTGGAGATGCCATTCAAGGCATTCAATTTTATATAAATTTATGTATATATAGTTGTGATCATTTGTGATAGTGTTTTAGGCATTGGGAGGGGTATTGGGGGACACATATTAAGAGGAGAGCTCAGTCATCGTGACTTTGGACAAATGCTGTGTGTGTGTGTGTGTGTGTGTGTGTGTGTGTGTGTATGTATGTATGTATGTGTGTGTGTTTCAATGTATGATATATGTGTGTATGTATCACATCAGCTTTAATTCACACAAATATGAGATACCAATGATTGCCATTAATTTCATTGTATTATTTATTTCACTGTTTCGTCACTATTACAACCAATTTAAACATATAAAACATTATATTATTGTGATATAAAAATTTATTTTTTTATATATCCATTTTATTTTATTTTTTGACACTTGTATATTCACTTTGCAACACATTATATACAAACATTAAATTATATGTTATATCTCTCTCAATGAGGGAAAATATATACAATTTCTGCGACAATGAATAATAAATCGATTTTGAAGAGCTCTGACACCATTACATGCATTTAGTAGTGACTATACATATCGCTAATAACCAATAATTTCATACAATATATTAAATATATGAAACAAATGAATAAAAAATAGTTTATATAATAGAAATTTAATATATTTATTGAAATATTATATTTTGATTGTCCGTCACATTCAAAAATGTTTAATCAAATTTATTATCATTACTATTATTATTATTAATTGAAACATTGAAATACTATTTTTTATTAATAAAGAGGTTAACGACTTGTTATAATTAACAACAACAAAATTACTCAAACAAACATTAAATTATATTTTTGATTTGTATGATATGATTTTGAAAGTAAAAATCAAAATAAAATCTTAAAAATTATAAATTCATAAAATAATCGCACTTTAATTTAAGTTTTCCTGAAGTGTATGTGAGTGTGTGTGTGTGTGTGTGTGTGAGGGGGAGAGAGAGAGAGAGAGAGAGAGAGAGCTGATAATATACTCATTTACTGTAAATATATATATATATATAACAAATAAATTTTCAATATATTTTATTCAAGTTTTAAGTTTACAGTAATAACTTAACCCATTTGTTATATAAGCACTGATTACCAGAAAACTAAAAAAAATTCGGTAATACAATGCGTTTAGCGATTATATTTTAGATATTATAGACGTTATAAATATTGGCAATAATTGCAATAATAAAAATAATAATCATTTTTATGTTTACTAAAAGTTTGTGTTAATAAGTGATTGTGTAATATATGGTAATGTGAGTGAAATGCCAGTCCAACTGCAATGTGACTCCAAGTATGGCAAAAATGAGACGCTTTGCTATCTATCTGTTTGACTGATTGTAAGCTATTTTTCAAATAGCATTACACATACTTTAAGTCCAGTTACAGCAGTTGTTAGGTATAGTCAATAGTACAATATATATGCAGTATTTATACAACAAAGTTAGGCATTCAAGGCATAAGTTATATGTATATATATATATAAAAAAAGTTTGTCATTATATATGAGTAAAAAAAATTCAGTGCTGTTTAGTGTTGGTTACTGTTGGCTAACATTTTATAAACACAGTTTTATTTCCTTTACTTTCATTTTCTGTGCTTTTTTAATCATATAATAATATCAATAAATTTTATACCTAATGAATAGCCACACCCTATTCATATACAATAGAACTGACCATTAGCTTTGGTCATATTAATAATAAAGTTATATACAATGTATATAAATTATATATTAATATAAATAAGACAAAACAAAAATGTTTAATTATATAAATAAGTAATGAAAAAAAGTTTGTTTTGAACTTACAATTGACTAGTCGTTTACGGGGCTGAGGCTTCTCCTGTTTTCGGCGAGACATTGTTGTGACCGGTGTCCAGACAGTCACTGTTTCGGCACTGTTACGATGGTCTCGTGTCCAGTGGTCCAGTTGTGTTAAAGTTAAAGCACTGGTTTGCTGTATATGCTTCACATTGGGTCTCACTTTTGGTGTTGAATGTGTTGAGACTTGAAGTGTCTGTATATTGAATATATAAATATAAGTTGAATCACAAGCATTACAGAGCAATACACAAACAAAATATATGATATATAATATTTAAAACTGTATGCTATGTAAAGCACTACTGACACTACAATACCAGTGGTGTATATGTTATGTATGTGTGTGTGTATTGAGTGGATGTGTATGTGTTTGTGTGGTGTTTGTCTCGATTTATGGCTTGCAATGGCTTTCAACAAACGCTAAGCACTGGCAGAAAGATGGCCGGACTGGAAGCCAAGGAAACACCACAAACGCACTGTTACGTTATGGTTACGCCAACAGGCGAGGGGGCTGTCCATACAAGACTCACACGAGACGAACTCAAGACCCCAAACTATCATGTGCTGTGAATATAGCTATCGGCTCTCTCAGAGTGATAGCCAACTGGTGTACCCTTACTTTACACAACACTTAATACCACTTATAATGACTACTATATTATACTATTGACTAATTCTTATAATTTTTAGTAATCAATTGCACAAAACATTGATAACACCATAACTAATAATTTTTGTTTGTTTGCATTTCATTTAGTTTATTCACTAAAATCTTAGTTTACAAAATAAAATAGAAAAAAGTTTTCACATTTCTCTTTAGAAAAAAAAATTCTTATAATTAGTTTGTATTCACTTTAATATTGATTTTTATTGTGTTTTTATAAATGCATTCATTCATTGAATTTCTCGCAGTAATTCTTGAATCAATTTTTCATTATTAATTTGTAAGCAGTTTTTTAATACTGTATGATATAAGTATAATAGTATTTGTTTTCAAACTAATTTGCTTAAAAACAGAATACAATTTTTTTAAAGAAAATAATTGTATTAAATAATAATAATTTTTTCAAAGAAATTGATATATAAGTATAATTAATAGTCACTATAATACTGGTTGTCTCGTTATATAAGGATATTAAAGCGTTTTATCAGTTTTTGTCCGTTTTTCTTATCAAACATTTTTTTGTTGATTCCATATAAATGTTTTGTGCCGTTAGTTGTCTCTCAAACAAAGTTATGATAGCTATTGAGTGCTATATTAGAGATTTACTGTATAGTTGTCGAAGGACTTGTTGACATTATTACAGAACAGTTAGCATACATACTGTATATACAAGTACTGTATAACTTATGTGTATTTTATATGTATGCTGTTATAAGTATGTATGTATGCGTCCAAAAAAGTACATCGAAATGCTAGTGCAAACACGTCTGTAATAATAAATTATTTGTATTTTTTTGTATATAATATTTTTTCTAAAAAAGCTTTTCCAGTGTTTAATTGATATGTGTTTTCAGTATTGATAAGAACAGGTCAGTGACACTTCAGCTATCATTTCATGTCGAAAGTTAACACAAGAATCGGACAATTATTATATATTGTAAATACAATTTTTATTTATATATATTTTTACTATTTATTTTTTGTAATGATATTATCAACTTATTGTGCAATTAAAAAAATAACATCAATTATTAGATTTTTTATGTATTAGAGATTCACTTTTTAAAAAATTATTTTAGTTTATAGCGATGGCTTAATTTAAAAGGAAATTTTCAATTTTGTTTATATATACAGTTATACAAAATATATAAATAAATAAATATATATATATATATGAGTCGTATGTGTGTGTTTCGCCCACAATTGAAAAAGTTATTCAGCTGTTTGGACACACATTGAATAAAACACATTAATTATAAATAATAATAATAATAACATTTACTAATATCATACTAACAAGTTATAAAAACTAATAAAAATTATTAATRAATAATTGTAAGAAAATTATTACTTTAAAAATTAAAAAACTAATTTAATTAGAAAATATAAATAATTAAAAATAAATTTTAAAAATGTTTTATTTACAATTTTTGTAGTTAATTGGATGATATGTTGTAGTTTGAAACGGTATATCAATAAACAGTTATCCCTTGCCTTTTAGTTGTCTCCAAAGTTGGTGTAAAGTTGGGTCGCACTTAAAAATTTGTGGTAAGTTTTTAGCTGAAAAAAGTAGGCCTTAAAGTTGTGTTAAGTTTAATAAACTCGTCATTTGATTACGAAATGCATTGAACACAACATAATATAGTGATATAACTTTGGGTACGATAAGTGTCCCTAAAATAACATTTTGAGCACACATTGGGAGCAGAGCTGGTAGTACTGGTAGTATTGTTGGTGAGAGTGACAGTGCATTACCGTAGCATTGGATGTGTTGGTGAGTTGGCTCCACAACAGCTATCAATGACCGAATGCATTGCCAGTACAGTCATTGCAGTTGTGTGTCTGCACTGGTATTACTCTATCACTATCACCAATACATTGGTTTTTGTGCGCATTCCCCACACATTCCCCACTCTATGGCAATCCAATAGAGGAGTGGTCACGGCTTACACGTCGCAGACCACAGGTCACCCCCACACCGACTGATTGGTCTCTCACTCACACACGACCGCAGGGCACTCAAGACAACCATCTCATCAGCCCTAAGATGATACCATACGACAGCACCGGCAGCTCATCCACAGTATCCACACTAATAGTCATCAACTATATATGACTTCACCCAACCATTCATTTACTATAAGAACTTTAAGATCAATAGACATAAAAAAGAGTTACACATAAAAACTGATGCATTCATTCATTCATTAATTCATTTAATTTTTCGTTCAGTTTTTGTGACAATAGTTTTCATATTTAAGGAAATCTATAATATTCTCCATTTGTCTCACACTATGTTTTATCACAACATAGAGAGAGAGAGAGAGAGAGAGAGAGAGAGAGAGAGAGAGAGAGAGAGAGAGAGAGAGAGAGAGAGAGAGAAGTGCTATCAATGTTTTATAAACTGATTGCTAGATATAATTCAATGAAATTATTATTTGTATGATATAAAAATATTTTTCAATGAAATAATTTTAACTCTCGACTGATTAACACATGTTTTAAAACTGAGGCAATAAAAAGTTGACTAAAAATGTTAAAAACACTAAAGAAAACAGTGATGACAGTCTCCAGTGATGTGCATCACTCTATTATATCGCGCAAGTCTTTTTTGCTTCAATTATATATATATATTACTATTATATTATATAATATAAAAATAGTAAATATTATAAAAACATTGTATATTAAAAAGTTAAGTAATGTTTGTGCGATCATATCTCACACATTAAAAAGCATGTGTCACATGATATCAATGTTTGTTTGCTTTGAGTTTTAGGGAAAATTGATTAGAGAAAGAGAGTGAGTAAGTAAATGAGTGGGTGAGTAATTGAGAAACAAATAGCGAGAGAGAGAGAGAGAGAGAGAGAAGGAAAATAACGAATGAATAAATTGGGAAATATTTGTTAGAAAAAAGTTAAGCACTCATATCATATCCATAGCACTGGTATGATTTGGTGTACATCATTGCATTTATTGGTTGTGTTGCCAGTGTATGATACTTACAGTGCCTTTTGGTCACAAAAATTATTAATATAAATAGGACGCGCGCTTCACGTCAATTAACGATAGCATATATTATAAATGAAATATATGACAGCTTATACACCATATGACAACCAACTCTCTCATTATTAGGTCATTCCTTCATCTCTTATGCAATACTAAATACAACGATATTCTTCTGCCATCTTCTGACTGAATAACACTCTCACTTCTAAACCTATTATGCAATCGTTAATTATTTTCAACTGAATCTTTCAATTGACAGGTTTTCTCCAACAAAGTGTATGTCCTAAAAGTTAAGCGATTTATGTATTACACAGCTATGTTAGATGGATAGCATTATTGAATAGGTATAGCTCTCAGGTATATAGTGTAGTCCACACTATACCTGTAGTGTATGTGTGCAACAAATAATACAGTGTTATATAGTGTGTGTTATACACGGCTGGTCACCGGGCGATGTATTGTACGCGTCATTTAACCCGACATAAGTGTGAGTCCGACACCGGATATAATCACTATTAAGGTGCCATCGCATGACCGGATATTATATAAGAAATCATATAATTCAATGATATCTCTCATACATTAACAAACCAATGAAAATGGCAATCACTGTAACACTAATTATTATTATCGGTATTAAGCAATCGTATAATTTTCTCATTCATTCATTCATTTATTTATCCCCCTTTGCTCTCAATCTCTCTATTTTATATTTTTTCAGTAATATTTCTCAAAAAAAAAAACAATATAAGATTACATTTAATGAGTGGGAGCCGTAGTGAATTGGTAATACAAGTGAATGGAAAGGCATAAAAAGTCAGTAATCACACTTAGTTTGACCCAAACTAATAACCATTGGGTGTATTGAATCATTTGTAAATATAATTTTTGTCTTAATATTAAATTTCATGGCTTTGTTTGCCTTATTTTATATTTACTACAATAGAAAGACATTGGGGGTGCACTGGTACTAAGGGATAGGGAGTTGTCATTAATCTCTCTCTCTCTCTCTCTCTCTCTCTCTCTCTCTCTCTCTCTCTCTCTCTCTMTCTCTCTCTCTCTCTCTCTCTCTCTCTCTCTCTCTCTTTATTTATTTATTTCTTTCTTTCTCATTCTCACACAATTCTCTTATTTCAATGAATTACTTTAGCGATTGGGATTATAATTGTTATATTCTTTGTCAGAGATATAGTTAAGGATTTGATGTCTAAATGTAGTCTAAATTTTTTAAATGAATTAAATATTATTCAAATAAGTTATTAAATTGAATTTTTATTGAAAACCAAAGCTTTGCCACAAATGTAGTCAACATAGAGTACACACACCTGTCTTTGTGTGTCTTAATATTCAATTATTATTTTTTCATAAAAATATAAGTCTTCTTCCTATTCATTGTATTTGGAGCACAGAAATGGGTAAAAATGGGCAAAAATGGGCAGATATTGTGATATTTGTTGATATTGTTTGATGAGTAAGAAGACGGCCATTTGAAGACTACTAACAAATACATTGAGGATCTTATTATGAGGTCAGCTCTTTTGGGCTTCAATTGTGTGAATACACCCAATGGGTTGAGTACTGCTAACCAAATAAGTTATTGTAAAACATTCATTAAAGCATTACTTAAGTAAAAGAAGGACAAAAGTCGACACACAGTTGGAGTGGTAGCTGTGATACCAGTGCTTTAAAAGCAGTAATTGTTGTACTAAACTGGCATTGTTTTGGCCCTCAAGGGATATTTGGTGATACGGGAGTTGCCTTAAGTTTCACAACATTTCATAGAGTTGTTTATATGGTTTATGCAATTTATAGTCCATACTCTCAATACATTACACAATATCAATGTATTAGTTTTATATATATGGTATGGTTTGTCAGTATTGAAACATATTGTTGTTTTAGTCAATGTTGACGCTTCAATGCTGATGATGATGATGCTAACAGTGCAGTTCATGGCCAAACCATAGCCACTACATTAATATATTTGTTACTATCGGATGGATGTGCTCTAAGGACTAAACTAATAATCAAATTGAGACGACTTCCTCCTTCAATTGAGTCACTCATAAATAACACGCTGTCCTGTCTTTTAGTATGACTTTTCACTAAACTTTTATGCTTTTGATTTCTGTTGTGTTTCACTGCTTTCTCTCGACATTTCAATACTATCTTAAAAGCCAATGTCTTTGGCATTTGGGAAAAGCCTAACAAAAAAGTGGTCAATTTTGTGACTTATGAAATGCATGACATGTTTCTCAGCAAAAAAAATAATATATTAATACACAAATATCGCGAGTGTCGGTGTGATTATAATCATGAACTGAATATATGATGAATGAAATGATAGCATCACTTATACTATGTATTGCCAAATGCATTCAATAATACATTTTACTAACGAAAGGAAGTTATACTATAAATATGCTTAAAGAGCGCAACAGATCTACTCATAAGTTATACCTTTATAAGCAATACCTGTAATAATAATAATAATAATAATAATATGTATTAATAATGAGTTATGGCTTTAAAAACAGGACAAATAAACTACTTATACAATATAGCCGTGTATTTCATAATAATATATCAAAATTGATAAGTCATTTGTGTGACGAATACTTTTACAACAACAAAAAATTATCCAATCTTTACATATCACACATACATTCATAATAGGGTTATATATATACTGTATATATATATATTGTATATTTATATTTAGTACTGTATATCATATATCATTCGTGTATATGTTTGTTATATATACCTGTATTATATCATACAATAGTTGAGGTCAACAAATAGTCCTGTGCTGTGCTCTCTGAGCTGTTGGAGTGAATCATAGCTATAATTATCTAATAATTTTCTAAATTGATTGCATATTTATCGTCAAAGAAGAGCACTGTTATGCTTCACCAATAAGAAGGAAATGCTTTTTTCAATGAATATTATAATATATATAAATCCTTACGATTTTCTATCTGTTTTTGCATTTATTTTCCCAATAATCAGACATAAACTTATTGTTAGCTTCGGGTGCTGTTAACACCCAATCTTACGTTGTTTTTCGATCCAAGACTTCATTATATGTATACCTTTATGTAAGCTTTGTGTTTAAAAAAATAAAAATCGATATTTATATAAATAGTATACTTATGTATTTGTAATGATATTTCCAATGCATGTTTTTATGCAACTGTTGTATTCAATATATGCATATATTTTATTTTTCTATGACAGTAACAATACGTTTATATAAAAATTATATATCGATTCGTTTTTTATTAAAAAATCTTAACAATATATTTATATGTATAGAGAGAATACATATATTATATAACTAAGAATTTACAAAATATAGAAATAATATAAATTGAATTTTATAAGTAATCTGTTTTTTTTAAGACTTAAGCCATTTGACTAAATAAATAACTCATACAAAACTAATACAATTTTTACTGCAAATATTGGCAAACATGTTAAAGCACAAAAAATATCTAAATACTTAAAATGTATATTTTATTGTACATACAGTGCATAGATGTCCATCGATTAATTTTTTTTTGCATAAAATATTAAATAAAACAGAGAAGAACTATGTGTTTGATTTATATATTGATTAGTTACCCAATGAACGACTGGAGAGAGAGAGAGAGAGAGAGAGAGAGAGAGAGAGAGAGAGAGAGAGATAGAGAGAGAGAGAGAGAGAGAGAGAGAGAGAGAGAGAGAGAGAGATAACGTATGAGTGAGACTCGAGAGTTTCAATGAATAAAAGGGAAGCAAAGGGGGAAATGAAATATGAGAGGAGAGTAGGGTTTAAATGCAAGTGTTTAGTCATAGACTGGAGATTTCAATCATAGATTAGTTTTTTGTACTAAAATAAAATTTATATTAAAATTTATAACGTTTAGTTTTTTTAGCTAAAAGAAGTGCATAATGTCTACAAAAACAACTTATTTTACTATAAACTTAACAAAAATTAATAATTTTTATGTAAAGCAAAACAATTAAATTTTATTAAAAATGTATTTATAAGCTTTTTTTGAAACAGTGTTTTCATTAAAACTCGATTAAATACATGTAAAATAGATATAGAATTTTACTATTATAAAAATCTTATTTTAATTTATTAAAAAAACTGTATATGCAATTAATCAAATAAAAATTAGTTTATTTAAATTAAATTCAATTAAATGTTTTCAATGCATTAAAAATTGAATTTCAAAGCAACTTTACATACAGTATTAGACGTATTGCAATCAGATACTCATTCAGTGCTTACTTTGCATATCTCAGTATAAATTGGCAACTCTTTCAAAAAAGCTACCATTCCTGAGGGCATTCAAGCGATTGCTAAGTAGTAAAGGGATGTTTGCAAAGGGATATAAGGGATGTGCGGCTAAAAAAAGATGCATAACTTTAAAGGATGACAAACCAAGAGAGAGAGAGAGAGAGAGAGAGAGAGAGAGAGAAAGCAAATCGATTCAAAAATAAATGAAAACTTTTATTCTATGCTATATTTTCAATGAAAGCATCATTTTATCAGTGAATGTATTCATAATATTGATTTGAATGACAAGTAAATGAAATTTTGAGCATAACTTTATGTACTTTACTATTAAATACTTTACTAAAATCGTACATTTTTTCAACACTTATATTATTATTTTTTATTAATATTTATATTGTACTAACTTTTCTAATATTTTGATTTAACAAATATTGTGTTTAATTTATTATATAATTTTTATTCTTGCTATTTTTCAACTTTATTAAATATTTTTACAAATGCATTTATTATAGTCAAATTAAAATTTTGCTTGTTTATCGACCTTTTTTTTATAAAYTACTTGTTTTAATCTATATATAACAAATCAAATACAACAATATTTTATTTAAAAATTGTTTATTATTACTTAAAAACTACTGTAAAATATTATATAAGTTTGTACTCTATTCACAGTTTAATTTTTTTGTCTATATTTTGAAAATATTATCAAAATTGAAAAATAAAATAGTAAAAGTAATAGYAATGATATACTATATATATATATATATATAATTAATTGATTGCAACACAGCTGGAGTTTATACGAAAACTAATTGCAATTGTATTATATGTGAAAAATAATAGATTTAATTATATAAATAAATTTAAATAATTGATTATTATTATTATGAATGCTTAAAATCCATAATTTTCGAGTACATAAAGTCATTGCCTTTAAGTAAGTTATGGCTGACTTGTCAGAGCCAAGACATCTGACATGTATTGCCTATTATTTGTTAGGCAAGTCCTTTACCGGCACTTATAGTCAGTCACTTCTGAATATTGCTTTTATTGTTGTTGTGAGACGTATGGGACATCCAATTGGCGAACAAGACTTTTAAACAATATTGTCTTTAATAGACTTTTGTGAATGTCATTAGAGTTATGAGTTATTCATAATTTGGTGGATATTCTGATCGGCACTGTTTTGGCTGAGTTGTCACCAAAAGCATAAATAGTGGTTCACTTCATGTGTACTTAAAGCACAGGTAGGCTTCAGTTAACCCTTAGAAGAAAGAAAGAGAGAGAGAGAGAGAGAGAGAGAGAGCTTCTTATGATTAGACGAGTTACAGACCATCACGAGAACCATCGCTTTCCGGAACAAATTATCGAAGATATGGAAGACATGGTCTTCTGTTAAGTTTTTAAGTGTCTCTTGTCTTATGAGTTATAATACAAATCATAAGAGCGGAACCAAAATATTGTAAATTTGATCGAACTTTAAATTACAGACACTTTTATGACTATATAAACCATTTATGAGGACATATGAGGACAGACACACACACACACACACACACACACACACACACACACACATCCACAGGTCATTCAACAACCAATACCTATCTATACCTAACTATTCATTTATACAGTCATATCGTATACGAAGACCCAAATTAGGCGATTCACTTGACGTATACTTCTTTTACATATTTATATCAATGCATATCTCAACCATTATTTCTGAATGTCATCATTACATAAGACATCTATTGTTTTCGTAAAGTTTTAGATCTATTTAGATATTTTATAAATAATTAAAATTTACATAACAATTGATAAATGAGACAAAAATTATGTTTTTATATATTTAATTTCTATTCTTATAATATCATAGCTATTATCAGGAATGTATTGCTAATTAGGGCAATAAGTGTATTCAATTGCTAAACGGATACTATTATTAAAAGTATTGATATAATATTCATATTTTATTTTGTAATTTATACATATTGTTAAGATATATGTAGATTTAAAAAAAAAATTAAGTTACATTTTATGAAACAATATTACTATTTAACAATCATCGCATTATATTTTAAAAAGAATAATATGAATAAAAAGTAATACAAATTTAAAAAATAAACATTTTATACAAATATTATGTAAAATTCAATAAATATGAAACTATGCGTCAAATATTATGTCCATCTTATCAGTAAAGACCAGATATGACCTCATTTGGTATTATTTCAATGCAATTACAATACAATGGGCTCGTCTAGTGTTTTATAATATGATCACAAAAACAAACATAAAATTCAAATATATTTATGAAAAATGTTGCGGTAAGTTAGGTAAAGAATAAAGTAATAATAATAATATTGTCGTATACATACAAAAATAATAAAATAATGAATTATAAACTAGTTTTTAATAAGAAAATTATGATAATTTATATATATTTTCATTGATAAGAATAAACGTTTAATAAGTATATATATAGAAAAGCAAACAAAATTATTTTAATATTTATATTATAAGCACATTAATAATATAAAGTATGTAATAAACATAACTTCAATTTTCATTCATTCAAATAATAATAGAATATTTTACATAAAGTTATGGTATATAATATTAATTGAATAATTTAGATATAATTTCTATTCAAATATTGCTTTTGACACATACTGTACATTACTTTCAATTATACAATTATATAAATAGTATTTAATAAATATTACAATAATATTTATACACTTTATATATAAAATTATAATATACAGTATATGTACTGAACTTTATAACATTGTATAATTTATAGCAATATATTTATTTATAATGTAAAACATTATTTGATTAATCGTTTGATAATCAAATTTGAAAGTAAAGTTGTTTTTTAGTTAGACATTGAATTGAAAATAAAGCAAAACATATATTATAAGTTATAACCAGAGATTAAATCTTAAAATAAATGTTTCAATTATATCCAGACAACGGATGTACACTTAGTAATTGAGTTAACTTTATCTAAATCTCAATATAAATGCAATTTTTAAAATAACTGCTTTACTGATATCATAACAATTGTTAAAATTATAGTCTAACAAGTTTGAAGTTGTATAATAATTAAAGTATGTTTTATATTTAATGTTGTTATATCAAAATTATAATATATAATTATTATGGACAATATATTTTTTAAATAAGATAAAAAATAACTTTTATATATGGTATTATATACAAAATATAAATAATGTATTTAATATACAGTATCTATACTTTGTATATTATACAGTACAGTAGTATATAGTTAATATTTTACTATTTTATTTATTAAATTGATTTTTAAAAAATTAATTTAATTTTAGATTTGCTTTCATATAATCCAAATGTACTGATTTCGCTCAAAAACATTTTATCCAAAATGATTGATCCAAATGGATAAAAGTGTTTGTTTAATAAATTAGACAATTATAATATTATGATGGGTAATAACAATAATAATTAAAGATAATTATGATATATTAATTATGATAAAATTATTTTTAATAAAAAGATCGTTAAAAATTAACAAAACGTGTGATTAATGTAAATGAGTGACCATTTGTGAGATCATCGGACGGGCAGTAAATCGTGACATAACTAATGATTGCAAAAAATCATTAGAAACTTATGAAACAATGATTTATCGCTATTTTTGCTTTTTTATGCCGTCGTTTGCAAGCGTTTATCACTAGTGATGCCACACATGAATGACAATCATTAGTACAGTATATAACAAATGTTTTACTAAAAAAAGATATCTTAAAAATACAATAAAATAATTTTTTTTATTATTGTAAATATTCAAAAAAAATATATATATACAGTATATATATATATTAAATTATTAATAAATCTTAAAAAGTGAACTCATATGTTATCAATGTTTTTATTAGTTATCAAACATATTTATACTTTATTTAAATATTTTAAAAAATGGACATTTAAAAAAATATCGATTATACAATTCAATGTGGATTCAAAAGTGACCATGGCTAGTTATAAAATTAAAATATAAATCAAATCATAATTAAACTATTACTCCACAAATTGAAATAACATTTATGCTTATTATTATCTAAAATTATAGACCATGGTCACTTTTAAATTAAATATACCAATATACAATATATGTAGTACTTTAGTATTAATACTTTTGAATTATAGTAATAATTAAACTATTGGTATTTGAAATAGAAAAGTTAGACCTGGACACCTCTAAAAAATTAAATTTGTCTTATTTAATTATAGATGACCTAGATAATCATATTTTTTAAACATTAAATATAAATTTAATTTTAAGTAATTGCTTTAATGATGTCATTAAACAATAATTTTATTGATTTAAAATAAAATTAATAAACAGTACAAACACTGACATCTATTATGTATAATATTAACAATTAATATGTTGTCATATAATTGACAATATGTGACACTGTTTTTCAAACAACAATTATTTGTAACATTATTTGTGAATTATTTATTGATTTTTTAATACATTATTTCTGAACAAAAAAGCGGTAAACTTGTACTCAAACACATACAACGTTACAGACAGTAGAATAGGGGGACAATACATGTATTACATTTGAAACACATGTTTGATGACAACAAAAGTCAATTTTGTGGTACAACTAAAGTATAGACAAATTGATTACCATTTTGTGTGTTGTGTTTGTGTAACGAAAAACACACGACTTTTTTGTTGTTCAGACAAATGGTTTGTTTGTSTCTTGACTTACAACTGATGCCATCATTTAGTTGCCATTAATTGATTGAATCCGTCATTAACTCCGACTATAGTGTAACAGACAGACAGTCWGACTGACCAATCATGTCATTACTTCAGAAGCCGAAGAGTGAGATGACTCCCGAAGAGTTGGCCAAAAGAGAAGAAGAAGAGTTCAATACCGGGCCGTTGTCTGTATTGACACAATCCGTCAAAAACAACACTCAAGTCCTAATCAATTGCCGAAACAATCGGAAACTGTTGGGTCGGGTCAAGGCTTTTGACAGACATCTCAATATGATCTTAGAGTCGGTCAAAGAGATGTGGACTGAAGTACCGAAACAGTCAAAGGGCGGGAAGAAAAAGGCCAAACCTGTCAATAAAGATAGATATATATCAAAGATGTTTCTCAGAGGAGATTCCGTTATTCTGGTCCTCAAGAATCCACTCGCCGTTACCGATGCCAAGCGATAGGACGACAACACTATTATTATTATTATTTGCCGTAAATGTTAAATGACTTACAATTTGCCTGTTTTTTGATATCATTTGACACTTAATTCATAATTTTAAATATTATTAATTAAGAGTTTGTATTCAAATTTCATTCATATTTACAATAAAACACATTTGTATTTAATTTAATCTTTAAATAATTATTATTACATTTTTTTATGAAATTTAAAACTTAGTTTTGCTATTTACATAAAAAATATTACCTTAACTTAATCTAAATAAAACTATATATTTATAAAAAAAATATTATTTAATACATTAAAGATATTCAATGATGTGTAAAAAATTTCAAATTAAATATATTTTCATTTAAAAAAATACAAAACAAAATGTAACATGATAGTTTTATGTAAATTTTTAATAATATAATACTTAATATTAATTGAGCCGTAAAACTATCTTATATTAATAACAATAATAATAATAATTTTTATTATTAGTTTTGATTTAGTTTATGAAAACAAAACAAAAATAACAGAAAATCTGTTGTCAATCCTGGAAACGACTGATTCCCTTGATTTCCGGTAAGTCTTATCTAATATTCTTGTATTTCCTACGATTTACAAAGTTTTTTGAATAATTTTTGTGAATTTTTWAAAAAAATATATATATATTTACAGATAATATTTGCGACAATTTTGTTGGAGGATGTGTGAAATTTTCAATTGAAGACAATATTAAATTATAGTCTATATGTTTGATATTTGACAATCACAATAATGTCTATTTATGAGCCAATAGTCATATTTATATTAGTATTTGAGATAATATTGTGTATAAATCTGATTACAAGTGATTGCGGTCGTCCCTATCGACCACTATTTGGCGGACATAATCGTAAATCTAATCAACGATTCAAAGAGGATGCAGTTGTAGACTATTTTTGTAACAATTCATATCGTCTTGTGTTTGATGAACAACGGGTTTGTAAATTTGGTGTTTGGACGGGACGGCCACCGATTTGTGCTTTTCCTATAAACGATGTTTTTCTTACCARAGTTTCCATCGCTTCCGAGTCAATGACATATACTAAAAATATTAGCGGCAGTTATGGTGACGAAGAAGAATTGGCTTCGTTTGGCTTTATATGGGAAGCGTTCAACAATAATGAATGTCTCAGTTCAGAGACGACAAGTGGTTCACAGAATTGGACATTTAGTTTAGATGAACCACAAGTTATTAATTATTTTATTGTTAAATTAGACAACAAAACATTTATTAATATTACCGATAATATTACACAACCGGTTACAGCATTTTTATTGAACTACAAAAACAACAATCAAACAACAATTAATAGGCTATTAAAAAGTTGTCAACTTTTGAAGTTTAATTTAAATTATGAATTAGAGTTTAGTTGCAATTCGTTGTCTCAAATTAGTAGATTAGAAGACAAAAGTTACGAAATTTTATTAATATTTAATTCAAATATAACTGAATCGAAATCAATATGTGGTTTAGGAGTATATAGTTTTCCTGAAAGATGTGGAAGAATTGATTTATCTCTTGCGATGACTGTTGAAACAATAACTTCGGGTCAAGAATTGGAGGCCAACTGTCAGGACGGCTATGAATTGGTGGGAAATTCAAGAATTTTATGCGATATTAATGGCCAATGGAAAGACATACCTTCTTGTCAACCGATCAATTCGTGTCCACTTATTGAACCAATTGATAAATTTGATGGAAATGTTATAAAAATTGAATATAAAAACGGATTTTATTTTAACCAAACTTTAATGGCAGTCAATGAAACTGATGCCATTCACTATTGTTTAAGAAATAATATTACAAATAATAAAAATAAGTCATTAAACTCTCGATATGTCGGCAAATACATCCGTCAGTGCGATAATGGCATTTGGTCTGATGTGGACACCAATTGTGATACACTACTCATTGACAATCAATTTATTGAAACAATACCTAATTATTATTCAATTATTATCACTATAAGTATTATGATAGCAATGTTTTGTTTGATAACAATTTGTTTGTATTGTATTTTGAAATTTAAAAACCAGAAGAATGTTGTAATAGAAAAGTCAAAGACATCTGAATCCAAATCTGATTCTAACAACAAATTAGTTGAAAACGATAACAACGATAATAACCGCAACAACGGTGGACATCAATTTATGGGTTATCCCCGAAACCGAAACAGCGATCCGTTTGACGATTCCGTGTATTCAGTTTTGGCCGAAGACGGCTACGATATACTGAACTTCGGCTCCATTACCTATGACCAGTACGACGATACCGATGCACCCAAACCAGTCTATCTTGAAATATATCCGTTGGACGACGTGTCCACTATTAGCCAATATTCTTTGCAAACTTACCATGATCATAATGACCACAATGACCACAATGACAATAACATATAGATTTTAATTCAAATGCATATTATATTATCATAATATTGTATAGAATTTATTATTATTATTAAAATTTCATATAATTTAGTTATTCATATACTGTATAGTTTGTTAAATTTTTTTATATATCATTATATTCATATACAGTCATTAAAAAAATTTAATATATTATATTATAATAAAATTTTTATAAAATACAATTTTGTTTAGCTTTTTAATAGTTTTTAAACAAATAATTTTTAAAAATAATTTATACTAAAATTGAGAAATATTTTAAACTGATGATAAATATTTTATAAATAAGTATTTAGTGCATCAACTTATTTATAAATATATTCTATTAGCTTAAATAAATGAAATATATTTTTAATAAATTAATTTTATAATTTAAATAATTTTCAACGAATTATCCATATTTTATTTATTTTTTATACCGATATTAAATATACTGTAATTTATTTTATTTTTTATTATTTTATTGATCGAACAGATGTCGCACAAATATACAGTAATCAATGTAAATGTTTAGAAATTAATTTAAATTGATATTTATTATTATTATTATACTTATTATAATTACTATATTGTAAGTACTATTTTTTAAATATCTAAAATAATGAAATTTATAAAAAATAATACATAAAAATATAATTATGTTAATTAAATTCTTTATAAAAAATACAGAAATCTTCAATCTTGTTATTTAATTGATTTTGATGTTTAGGTTTTATATAAACTGTGATCTTTTTAATCATTTTGTTTTAAGTAAATCTTATTTGCAATAATAATATTTACTTATAAAATAATATACTTTATATTAAAAAATAAATATAGCTTTAGTGTCAACATATTATTTGATTTACTTTTATATACAGTATATACCAGTGTATAAAAGTATTGATAAGCTCTTGCGATAAATCTGATGAATATTAATAAAAAAAATTTTTTAGTTGAGATGAAGTTATATTTTTTTGAAAGTAATGTCATGTAGTGAGCATTAAAAGTCAATCATTTGAATCGTTTATATAATATATGTATACTAATCATATATTTTTCTTTATTACATCAAAAAAGTCGGTTTAAGATTTTTTAATACCATTTATATTATACTGTATGTCGTCGTCTGTCAGCAAATTAAGATATGAATATCTTGATGTAGATATTCAAACACTATATTACTGTTTTTAGATTCAAGTTTTTTTAGCCACAAMTGAATATCTCATTGGACTGATGGCCACAAAATGAATCTTCACTATTGGCTCAAGAGTTTTGTGATTATCATATTCACTGAGAAAAACATTATAATCATTATCTACGGAATGTCAGACATATTAATAATAAAAAATATGAATAAATTAAAAAATTCTGGTTTTCTTTTATATGATTACATATTTATATGTATAACAACCACAACTTAAATATTTGTTATCTGTAATCATATATATATATATATATTTGTGTAAAATACAATTTATATTTTGTAAATCTATACATTATTAGTGAATATTTCGAGAGATTTTTTGGTGATCTGAAGCCATTTAACTATTTGTTTTATTTTCTTTCTGTCTTATATAATGGGTACAGACATATACTGTTGAGCTTAAACTATATATTTTATTATTTAATAAATAATATTATTTTAATAATCGGTCAACTTTTTGAAGTTTTAACAAAAGTATACGACTTTAAAAATAAATCGAAAAATGTAATTATAATAACACAAATAACTTACTGTATATAATATAAATTTATATATATATAACTATAAAAATGTTTTGAACTGATTATAAAAATAAATAATTTACAGTAAAAATGTGCTCATATACTGTATATAGAAACAAAAATATGTTTTATAATAATATAATACATTGATTTAGACATCAATACAAAAAAATGAATTGACTGATCAATGAACTAATTCAAGAAAAACAACTCATCAAAAAATTGCTTTTCTCTGTATATAAATAGATTTAAAAAACAGTTATATACTGTATATATAAAAAAGTTTAATATTATTATTATAGCCAAAAAAGTAGTTTATCATAGTTTACAATTGTTTTGTCCATCTCTTTTTTATATTTATAAAAATTGACACAATTTATAGGCGCTTAACTTGAAATACAATAATGAATAAATATATATTGATTTTTGTTGTTTGACTTCACATGAAATTTATTTCAAACAAACAAAAAAAAGCTTTACAGAAGAAATCCATTTTTAGTCACAATTTGTTTTGCAATAATGATGTGCCTATTATTAACAACCATACCGTACATAAAAGTTTTTGATGAGAGACTCATTGGAACTGATTGTCAAAGCAAATAATGTGTCGGATAATATATATATATATATATATATAAAATAAATCTGTAAGCATTACTACAGTACAATATATTAGTTTATATTTTACTTTAATATATAGTATATAGTATTGTATAAAACAATACATTTAAATGACAGGAGAGGAGAGAGAGAGAGAGAGAGAGAGAGAGAGAGAGAGAGAGTAAAGGAGTACAAAATAAGATTATTTTCGTTCGTTAAACATTCAGTTAATGCAAATCGAGAGCACAGATACCACACACACCAGATCTCCAGTCTTACAGTATATGTCTATCATTTCAATTATATAAATTTATATATAATATGCATACATACTATACAATATCTATAATATATAATATATAGATTCTATATATATGTATGCATATCTATACATGCCTTATACAGTATATATTTATATATTTTATGTAATCAAATTGAAATGCAAAAACTGTTAGTTGTGTTTGACGAGTGACTTGAGTTATATAAGGGGTTAGGGAGAGAGTTAAAGCATCGTTTGATTTATTGTTGAGCTCAACACTATTCAACAACTATTTACTATTGCTTTAGTCCTGATTCTGGTGTGCGGACAAACATACTGTGCGCACCACTGTATATACCGAATATATATAACTGTATTATTATTTTATAAATAAATAGTATATAAGCATAAGTTTTGTGGATTTGMATCAAACGACTGTCTATTTTAATGTTTGGTTTGAATTGTTGTCTCGTTTGGAGACAAATTTTTGCATCAAATCATTTGTGGAAATATATTGAATTGAATTGATGTAACATTTTTGATGCAAACCCAGAGCCGACTCATAAAACATTACACTCATTGAGTATACATTGAGTTTGAAATGAATAAAACAAATATTCTTCAGATCTCTCTTTTTGTAATCAAATTGTTATATCACTCCCCGAGTGAGTGACTCGAAGCTCAGTTAGCTTTCAATTGTATGCAATTGTATTTTATATACACAATGTATATATTTCTCTATCATTTTGAGTCACCTCATCATTGCTTTTCATTTCAATCATTTTTTTGTATCAATTGAAAAATGTAAGCAAAATGTTATATAAATGTAGAACTAATGTAAAGTCTGTATAAAATTGTGTAAAACTCTATCAAATAGCGCTCAGCTATTCATTTCATTATTATTGTCTCATGAAATGCTAATAAGGACCCTAAGGGCCGGCACTGGCATACAATTGAGTGTTTCGTGTATTACTGTATTACAAATTAAATTGTTCTTTACTTCATATTATTCACTATTATATACATATATATCAGCTCTCAATGCCTTCATTTGCATTGAAATAAGACACATACAGGACTTAAACAGTACTCGACTCCAATCCATTGACATAACCATCACTTGAGGCCATTTCCGACACTCACTTTCTATCAGTCTTTGCAAACGTTGACAGTCGGGCTCATCCTAACCATTGGCCTCAACATTGACATCACTCTCGCACTCTATGAAAGACCACATTTTATTTGACACAACATTTCAAACTATTTTTTGTACATTTGTTCAGCAATTTAGCCAAATATACCAAAAAATTTAGCGACGATACACAAATAGAGAGCAAAAATATAAAGTATATAAAAAATTTTAATTAAACATAACCTAAAGGCTCGTTGACTTAATTTGATGCCAACAAACCAACTGATGCTATGATGTCAAACAAATATCTTATTTTTCACTCATTTTGAGCAAAAATAAGAGTTTTACTCAATCTGTTATTTTTTTTATTATTTACTCATTCAAAGTCCATAATTTCCCAGAGGTTTAACATTTGGCTCATATAATGATTGCCTGTTTGTCTCCCATTACTTCATTGTATAACAAATAACAACTTAACATTTAACCATTTATTCACTTTATCTAATATCTATTATCAATATATTTACAGTATATAAAGTTAAACTAAAATTATTTTGCTTAAATATAAATATTAATTTATTTTTTAACATTACATGAGTTAAAATTGTTTTATTAGTTTCATTTTATAGTAAATTTTAGATTAAATAACAGAATATACATATAATTTCATTTAGATTTCATTAACTCAATGTTGACATAAGCAAAGTTGACTAACTTTTTATTAAATTTAGTTATGTATAACACAGCTATTATTTATTTTTTGTTTAAATAAGAAATTTTGCATAAAATAATCTAATTTCAAACAAAAAATTTAATTGAATTCAAAAATTAATTTAATTTATATACATATATCTCTAATATGAATTACTATTTAAAGTTAAATATATATAATTTATTCATTTCTTTAAATAATATTTAAATTAACAATTAATTAGATTGAAATGTGTCATTTTATAGTTAAATGTATATATCTATCTATTTATAGTGTATATACTTTATAATTATATTATTAAATAATGTTTTTGAGTAAAAATAAATAAATTTTAAAAAGTTTTTATCACATATTTATTAGTCTTAAAGTAATAACTTTAGCTCACAATTTCAATTGGAAAACAAAAATAAATTATTTACTTTGTTTAATAAGTGTTATTTAATTATTGTTTTAGTTAAAAATATTATGCATTATTATTTTTCATTCATTAACAAAAATGTAAATAAATATTTTTAAATATTTATATTTATAAAAATCTATTATATTATAAAATAATGATTATTTTAAAGTTTAAAAATAAAATATTAAATGTTATTTGTTTAATTCAATTTTATATTCATATTTACTTTCAAATATTTAGTCAATATTGTTGTTTTAATTATAAATATATAGATATAATATAATTAATAAAATACAAAAATTTTGTTTCAGTCACATATCAATCTATGAAATGATTGAAATACTATTTATTGTATTATTTGGTTGCAATTCAAATAATAAATCATAGATGTATTGATCGTTAGATAAAATTAATGACTTTAAAATTGGGTCCGACTGTAGGTGACTATAGTTGATGTTGGGATCTCTTTGTTGGGAACCAGATATGCAGGTATGCGCTCAGACATCATATTTTGCTATTATTGTTTAGTGTCTGCATTTGACGATCAAATAATCACACTATCATTCCAGGTGGTGGTGCTGGTGGTGGTGGTATTCATGCCCATACCTTGTCTACTGTATTGTATGTATTCATATATAATATAAGTATACATAAGCTATATATGATGTATATATAGACGATAGGGGAACTCAGGCGATAAGTATGTATATTTCAATATAAATATATATGCTATATATACTCATATATATGATGTATATATGTTATATGGTGGTGGTGTGTGTAACAGTCCTATCCCTATCCCTATCCATATTGTTAGCACAACTCATATTAACCTTCTCTTGTAAGACTCACCGCTATTGGTGTCTGTATGTCGTCATGAGATGAGGAACTGGAGTTTGAAATGTATAGTCCAATAGGGGACGTATCAATGATGAACAGCTCCACCCTATAGTTTATGTCAAGACATTTAGACGAGAGATCGCTTGCATGCATAGCACTGTTATGAGACACCAATACTCTAACGATAGTTTACATCAGCGACAGAGATATCGCTATTGGACTCAATTGCACAAAACCATTGCTATCGGCGCTCACAATCACACGGCTTCTGGTTATCTCTTACTGTGCGCTCTCAGTGCCCAACCATCACGTAAACCCCTATAGTTTATAACCAGTTATACATTAAAACTACTATTGGGCTCAATTGATATTATATGATCCATCGTCAACATTATAACTCAATTAATAAATCAATTTAATTGAGTTAAATCACACCACTGGCCAAAGTGAGACCAAACAGCACATTGGCGTCTCGGACGTCGACAGTGCCCATACCTTTATTGCAGCATCCCTTCTCTGAATCTGGTATGACTGCATTAGGTTTGGGCACAGCAGCCGCTTTGGCTGCACTGTCAGCATCAGCAGGTCTGGCAAATGGTGCACTTGGATCTACTGGTTCGTCGGCGAGTCCCACATCAGCCGCTGCTGCAGCCGCCGCCGCTGCCGCTGCTTATGGCGCACATCCGGCCGCTGCTATGTTTATGTTACCAACACTTAACTTCACTGTCAGTCAAGTGGCAGCTGTTTGTGAAACACTTGAAGAGAGTGGAGATATTGAACGACTCGGAAGGTTCTTGTGGTCACTTCCTGTGGCTCATCCCAACTGTGCTGAACTCAATAAAAACGAATCTGTATTAAGAGCTCGAGCTTTAGTGGCCTATCATTCCGGACAATTCAGAGAGTTATACCATATCCTCGAAAATCATCGCTTCACTAAAGGTTCGCATTCAAAGCTACAACATATGTGGTTAGAGGCCCACTATCAGGAGGCAGAAAAACTCAGGGGTCGACCTTTAGGACCCGTCGACAAGTATAGAGTAAGGAAGAAGTATCCATTGCCACGAACCATATGGGATGGCGAACAGAAAACACACTGTTTTAAGGAAAGGACCAGATCTCTACTCAGGGAATGGTATCTTCAGGATCCATATCCAAATCCAACCAAAAAACGCGAATTAGCCACCGCTACGGGTTTAACACCGACACAAGGTTTGACTATTTAAAAAAATATATTATCACTTTATTTAATGTTTATTTTATTGTATTTATGTATTTTTCAATTTTGTATCATTTTTACTAATTAGTGGGCAATTGGTTTAAAAATCGTCGCCAAAGAGACAGAGCAGCGGCAGCTAAAAACAGGTATGGGTTTATATATTAATTACTTTAAACATTATTATGTTTATTACTTTTAACTTTACTCTCAATACCTGATTTAAAAAGCAAAAACACAATTTCATTGACAAATTAGCTAAAATAATCCGAGGGTTGTTAGCACACAATTTTTTGTTGTTGTAAATCAATTTAAACTCTATTACTATTTTCTAGTTATTGTTAAAAGAGATAATTAATTTTTTATGTGAAACTTATTGATTTAAACTATTGCCAGAGGTATAACTAAAAAATTATTCTCATATATATGTACTTTAAAAAATTATATATATATATACGTATATTAGACTAAACACTTTTAGAAAAATAGCCCAATATATATAATTTAAAGTAATTTGAAACAAAAATATTGCTATGATTTCTTTGAAAAATTATTATTTGAAAATGAAATGTATTTCATATTTATATATATACAGTATAAACACATTTATATAATATATAATAAGATTATTGAAAAAATAATAATTATAAATAATATGCTCCACTAGTTTATATTTTTTTTAAAGACTAATATATTGAAGAAAAATCTATATATTAATTGGGATCAGTTTGGATGCCATTCCTCTCACACTTAATAGTTCTCTTGCTTTATCATTACAGTTGGCTCTAAGTGTTTATTGTTATGTTTATTACTATAGTTATGGCACACAAAAAAATAGTGAACGCCATTAAGTTTATAAATTGCATTACTTTTTTCGCTCTTTTTTCAATGTGAGGGTATATCCCATGCGAATGCCTGAGCGCCTGTGAGAGCTACCAGAGACCTAACAATCGGTGATAGCCAGTAGTCAAAAGAGGCTTTTATATTGTGTTTTTTGGGTATATATTTTGATTTAAGAGTTATGCTAAGTGCCGCTCAATGAATGGATCATTTTTTGTTGTTGTTATACGTGTAGAGAGAGAGAGAGAGAGAGAGAGAGAGAGAGAGAGAGAGAGAGAGCCCAACCATTATTTATGATCTGTTCAGCGGACAGACTCTTTAATACATAATTACATAACAGCCTCTTCTCAGTCCCAAAATTTTTATTTTAATAGCTATAATAATACGGCATTACAAGTGTTAACTTTAATACTACAATAGTCTCTAAAAATATCAAAATATTTAATTTAGTGTTTTTCTCTCTCTTTTTTGTGTTTTGTTTTTCATTGTCTTTTGCCGTCTCTTATACACTACTAGTCATGACTTTTCTTATATTTATTTAAAGCATTTGATTTAAGCCGTAGAGAATAGCAAATGACATTTAAATTAATTATAGCTTTTATTTTAGAAAATATTATTAAAATAAAAATTTATGATTGTATTATTTGAAAGCTAAACTTTTGTCGTTTTGCGTCAATTTCGATATATTATTCAATTAGATGTTTATTAGTTAACTATAAGATCGAAAGCATTGAAATTAAATAGTGTTTTGATTTAAACATTGCATGACTTTAAACTAAATGATTAATGAATTTAATTATTTGTTTTTCATTGGCTTTTGTCAAATATATATATATATATATATATATATATATATATATATATATATATATATATATTATTTGAACACAAATGACATTTTTATATGGATTTAGGCATTCAATTGAAATTCAATGAAACTCTCTATTATTTATGTTTACTGATATGTTAAATAAAACTTCCCTTTTTATTAGTTTACGGATTATTATTATTCAATTAAGTTTTCCGTATTTACACAATCGTTGAGTCGATTTTGACAACAATTTTTTCAAATCAACAACTGTTTTGTCTATATTTTACGGGAATCTGTTTTCCATTAGCGAAAGGGCACCGGTAGATAAATGATATACGAATATATTCTCTGTATATATGTGGCACACATGTGTTACCAGTGCTGGTGTATCATTGAGACCGATGTTTCTCTTATTTAAGGCGTTGAAGTGCACGCAAATGATTCAATACTATTAACTATTATATAAAACATAAGCCCCTAATCTCAGGCCTACTATCATTGTCGGTCTACCTCTCAGGTTATATCGCTTTACCTAAAATTATTACAGTATATATTATGTGTTAACTATAACTATACCATATATTATATATTTGAAATCCATTAGCAAAACATATATATCATTATATGAGACATAACTTAAAGTATTTGTTATTATTAAAAAACCTTTTTTCTATTCAATTCATCAAAAATTTTATTGAAAACAACTACTATTGACTAGAATTTTGTAAAAATAATATTATAAATTAATAACTACTGTATAACGAGATAAAGCGTGTAAATACAGCACACCTTATATTAAGGCATTAATATTTGAGTAGTAGTGCAACGGTTTCCTCTTTTTCCAGTTATTATTATTATTATATACACTATATGTTAGTATATATTATAATAATGTTTTTCAATTACTGTATTATTCTATGACCACCTATTGCTCTATTGCTTTATTGAGAACTGAGCCTAATATATAAAAGTATATATTGATAGACATACTATGAATACAATGAAAATGTTGTTAATTAAAGCAATTGAAATGTATGTATTAAATAGCAAAACTATTTTGGAAACGGTATGTCAAGGGAAACGGTGCACGCGTTGGGACTTCACGTTTAGAAAATGGTTTAACAAAATAGTTTAGTGATATTCAACTCAATAGAGATATTGATCCGATTGTCGTGTGTGTGGTGTGACACTGGTATCACACATTAAACTATACTCTAGTGGTGTTATTGATGACAATATTTAACACCAATGCCTGCTATATGCTAATATATGGGTTAAACTTCAATTTTACATTTAATTTGTTGCCTTAATATATGATGGCCTTAGGCTTGTAGTCTCTGTAGATAGAAATGCCTAATAAAGGAGAAACCAAACCGATTTGGTAGCGCTTATATAGTGAAAAAGTTGACTCACAATAACTAATTCATGTTGTAATCAATGTATTTAATGTTATATGATGTATGTTGTGGAGCATCGGCCGCCACAATGGTAGGCCCGGCAGGCCTGTCAACACTGGTTTGTATTTGTCAGCCATTCATGTTATATCATATTAAATACACTCGCAATTGTGCCATTATTGCCATTATTGCCATTATTTAAACTTTCTTTATTAATGATAGCTTTAAAGCTCATTAATGAAAGCCAGTAATTATATATTGCATATTAAGAGCCGTAAATTGCTATTGAGAAGTAATATATAACATAATAGATAGCATTCAAACAAATTGCTTTCAAAACATCTGTAGTTTTCATTTTTCTTAATTATGCCATTGGCTTCACTGATGCCAATTCAATACTAATACTGTTTTATTAACAACAAATATATCGGTTTGTCATTATTATCATTATTAATACGAATATAATATATTAATAATAGAGATTATAATTGACAAAATGAAATTCATACACATACATTGCAATTTATAATGTGTATAAAATGCTACTAATATCTCCATGTGATGCCGTTTCCTATCAATACAAATAACTTATATTTAATTTAATGAAATTTAATATTGATTTCAAAAGACTCGTTGAGTGTTGTTATGTATTTAAAAAAAACATAGAAAAATACTGTAGAAAAGTATTGAATACAAAAATTGTTTTATTGAATGAATAAAATATCAATATTTTCAATGAATAATAGAAAAAAAACTTGAGGTTAAAAACGGTTGAAAATATTAGTTTTGATTTGACATATTGTGTATAAATATAATATGCATAAAAATATAATAATAACATAATATATAAATGTAGTAATAGGGAGCAGAATACATAAAAACCAATAGTTTATTGAAATGAATTGCTATTGAATGCACTATATCTTTAGTCAACTCTCTCTCTCTCTCTCTCTCTCTCTCTCTCTCTCTCTCCTCTTTCTTGAGCCATATATACTGTATCTGTGATCAGTATTTTCCTCTTATAATGTTTTTGATGGTTAGACGACATCCGGCTTTCATGCTGTTTCACTATTCAGTCACTGGTATTGAGTGACGAAACGTTTTTGAAACTTTATAAGCGTTTTATAACAAAATGATCTTTCATTCAATGATTCATTGATTGATTCATATATATTCATATATATTCATTGCCTTTCCCTATAGATTACTTCACCAACAAATACAACACCAGAAAATGCAAATACATGGCGCCGGCAATCGAGGCTCTTCTACACATTATTCTAGTAGCGGTAGAAATGGTGCAACAAATCTGAGCTCATCCAACACATCATCACTAAATAGGTTCAGTGTGGCCGCATTGGCCGGTACGGCATCGGACAGCAGTCGAAAATCACATCTACTGAATGTTACGTCAGATGAAGAAAATAGTATCGCCTCCTGGGATGCAGAGGCCGATGACGATGAAGACGATGATGACGATGACGTCGATGTGGGACCTCTCAGTCCAACCGCTGTGTCCACAACATCGGACTCCAGTCGGGGAGGAAGCAGTCCGTCGATATTGTCATCTAATAAGTTAAGCAAATAAGTGCTGCAAATATTTAGTAGTTATCATTCATCCGATATATGAAGTGCTTAAACATATGATCAGTTGTTTTGTCAGCGGAGGTGCTCTTAGTTGAAGCACAAGAGACAGTCAACTTAATCAGTGCTCTTCTGTGACTGAATCCAATTATGAAACAAACAAAAAAACGGTTAATAATTATTAATGATATATAATTGGTTGATCTGTTTGCACGCACATCGACTTTATTTACAATAGAGACTAATTATTAATATGATATAAATTATGTGAATTTATATATAAATATTATAAATAGTTTGTTGAATATCTATTTGATTATGCATTTTATGCATTAATTATACAAAGAATTCTCCACATAAGTGATTATAATGTGTATTATATTATTATAAATATTAGTTTAAAATAATTTTCAAAATCTAATATTAAATTAAATTTCTTATAGAAATTTTAATTATAATTAATTAATTAAAAATTTTCATTATGTTATGCAATTAAAATGTGAAATTAAGCTGTCTACTGTATATATATATATATATGATATATAATTTATATATAAATATATTGTTTATGTTTATAATGTAAATGTAAAAATTGTTTTAATATACTTGAAAATGGTGTCCATTTAGTGTTATTTTTTGATTTATTCAAAATATAATACAATACGTTTCACACAACAATATACACATTTCATGCCTTAAGTGCTTGGCTTAAGTGAACTCAAGTGAAAGGTGTAGTAAAGCTATAGATAGCTGGACTGGTAGACCAAAGTGGTGTAAAAATGATGAAAAGGTTTTATATAGTGAAAAATGTATTGAAAATAATAGTGTGTATGGGTTTCATAGATGCAGAGATCGATGTTTGGCATCGCATGTGTTTTTGTTGCCATATATTGTGTCGAGAATTGAGATTCAATTGAATAACACAACATATAATACCATATAATAGCGTTTCGATGCTTTTTAAAAGAAAACATTGATTTTTTCTTTATATTTAGTGGTATATGAGAGGCCAGACAACCAACAAGTTATACACATATAAAGTATATACATATTATGTGAGAGAGAGAGAGAGAGAGTGTTAGTCGATTTGCAACTACTTTAGGCTATAGTTTAACACTACTAATAGTAGTAGTATTAGTGGTAGTGTAGTATATATATTGTATTGTTTGGTTTTTGAGTCTCAATAGCAATGTATAAGCTTTTGCCTTATTTTATTTTTAAGAGCTGTTCAACCGGGATATGATCGCATAAACCCACGGATTATATATTCAGCAGTTGTGAAAATTTGGAGACACAGATAGGGAGAGGTGTTATTGTGGGTATAATATGGGTGCAAATATCACAGTTATTTATCACAGCAAATACTTTTTTGTTCACCTATTATTATATGCATTATATGATACCATAAATTTCTAAATCGGCTTCAGATATGTTAAACATTTTGTTATCGTATAGTACTGTATATACAATATAAATATTATATTATACTTTACATTTTCACTATATGTATAGTTTATTGAAACTAAATCTGCTATTCATTGCTACAAATTTATAATAGATTTGATGAACCAGAATAACCTGAACAGCCATACATGGCTTTAGGCCATCTCTAAACTTATGGACCACAAAGAGTGGCCAACCATTGGGTTACTGTAGCCAACTGTAGAGTCTAGTGCTGTGTTTAACAATACTTGTTATTATTACAACTCAAGACTACACTAACTCATAAATACAATCTCTTTTCACTATTTTTCTGTTTATTACAAATGGATTGCTATTATTGTCAACTTTAACTAAAGCTAATATCATTGCATGAAGTATACCATCAGTCCATTACTGATAACTTATTAAACATTAATTTACTCTCGGCTTTCACTATCACAATCATATAACTAAAGCAAAAAAAGTTTGACAATAAAAACATTTTTTAGCAATAATTTAATTACTTGACTAAAGCAAAACCAAAAGCAAACGGCTTGTGATAGTTATAACAGAGAAGCCGAGTGTTATATAAAAATATTCGCTATATTGTCTGATTTGATCCATTTTCTCATTTTATGAAATAATTATATCAAAAATTCAATATTGACTGCCATTGGCTCAACCAGTCATACATTCAATAGATCCACTTCTTGTTTAAATCATCTGTAAATACTCAATATTATACTGTTTTTAGACTCTCTAAGGGATAGGGGCTTATCATTTCTCTTATTTAGTGTCACTAATGTTTGTCAACTAGTAATATATGCAAATCTGTGTATATTGTTTTATTGTCATCAAATATATAATATATTGATAAAAAAGTTAATTATAATTTTTAGAAACATTTTCTAATATATGATAATTTTAAAAGCAATTGTATCAAATATGGCAAACCTGGTCTTCTCTCAAATGGGTAGTTAAACAAAAACAAAAAAGTGAATATACAGTATATATATATATATATATATATATATATATATATATATATACTAATAACTGTAAGATTGAGTGATGTGTTTATACCAATGAGGACATGACATCATAGTAATCTAATTGAAAAAGAGAGTGCAAGTCGAGGGAACACTATATATATATATATATAAAGTAGAAATTCTAGCCATCAATTTAGACATATTCAGAGAGAGAGAGAGAGAGAGAGAGATTCGGTGTAAGTATTATAATAGACAGCAAATAGTAATCACTTGACTCTAAAATTAAGACTTCATATTTAATGATTTACCGGTGCTTTGTTTAGACAAACCATACAATATAAGAGTTCGCACTATTCATGAGGTGATTGTGTGTTGGCTTTGATTATCATGTATTGTGGTTTTCGACTGTAATTACTTCACGATCATTGTGTGTCTATCTATTCACTATATATTCTGTATACCTGTATGTGAATATATGATATAAATTATATTCAATACATAGATATGTTTTTGTATTATATTAATGTTTAGCATCAGTAGTGATTTTCAGGAGTGATGAGTGAGAGTGGGGTAGGGTTGAGCTGATGGATGAAAAATGAAGGTTTACTTAATTTGAGTGACCGATAATCGATTGGCACAACTCTTATACAAATCACAGATTTTGTTGTTCACATGTTTGGTCCACACATTTAGGTTTTGTTATGTGTTTGCGGAGATACGACACAAATATGTTTGTATTGTGCAAAGTGTGTGTTGAAGAGTGCAATCTATTTATAAAACATTAGCCAATATCTACACTAAAACAATATGTATAGAAATCATATATAGTATGATATACTATATAAAGAGCTAATGCATCGCTTGCATGCATCTCAATGTCCAGTGCTATCGGTTATACACACCAAACAATTGTATGTCTGTATATCTTATTTTATTTGTCGATACGCTATAACCTTAACGTGTATTGAATTGATATTTTCGGGTTTAATATACCATTATATAGTTGAGTACTTTGAAACTATAGTTTAAGTGTTTTAGATGTTTGAAAACATGCGATAAAAATAGATGTAATGTTCAATCAAATCAAATGATATGACGATATTCTCACTCACAATATTTATATACATTTATTATATTTAGTTTATAATATATATGGTATAAAACTGTTTAAACTATGGCTATAAGTGCTTCTCATTTAAACTTATTTTTCTTACGCCTATTCACTTGTAACTAATATTCGTGCAATTCTTTCCTAATATTACTTTTGATTCACATTTTATCAAATTATAATGTTTTACAATAATATGTGTGAATCAATGAAAGAGAGATAAATAGTTAGATAGATAGATAGAGTGGTGTGAATATGGGTGCGATATACAGCTAAATGGCATACATTACAAATATTAATAGTTAGAGAGAAACCAAATATTATGTGTTCATATAAGTGCTATGAGTGCACTATCAATGCTAAATGTATGGTATGTATGGTATGAGTGTACTAACTCTTACCATCTTTTTGTTTGTGATGCCTGTCATGTGTGCTCTTTCACATCCACTACTAATAAGACAAACACTATGTGTAGAGTTAAAGTAAAATCGGATTTAGTGTTGTATTTGGTGGTCAATTAATTTTGCCATATTATTGGCATTCAATGGATAAATATCTGTTGAAACGATCCAACTGAGTGAGACACTGGGGCTTATAATATATGGGTTTATCTATAGTAATGTATAGCATGTCTGATGGATGCTTAGGCATCATATATACTACATATGTATTGCTCTCAACCCGTTTGGTTTGAAATAGAGTATTGAATCAGTGTTTACACGATCTCATGGGATACCCATTAGTTATAATGACTATGATTTGGATGTGAAGGTAAGCAAAGATTTGTCATTTTCCACTCAAGTCTCCACTCCATTAAAATGTATGTCTCCTCAGACCACGAACTCCTGCCGAGTGCTATAATAGTAGTCTTTATTGTAGACTATATGAGAGTACATCTCTCATCATAGCGTTGTCATGAATGTCAGTAAAACGATACATACATTCAATTTGATCCACAACTGCCAGTGTCTGACATATTATTAATATTAGACCATTAGATTTAAGGACATAGACTTGCATTGAAAATTCAATATATAACAGAACAATACTTATTTAAAATATATTCAATTTCATCAAAAAATTGTTGAAATGTTTGCTTATGTGATGATCTCGTATAGCAGTGTTTGCTTTAAGGGTGTTGTTTGCCATCGACTCTATTCCTCTCAATATATGGCTCATCCATACTGTTCACTATCGAGTCATACCATTGACAGACTATTCTGTATACAGTAGATCACCACCACTGCCACCACAGCACTCACCCACTTAGCCTACAGTCCATACCAGTGATAAAGTCTAGTAGATATTCATATATATCTATTGTTATTTGCTGTACTCTTGTGTATTCATCTCAACTAAACATCTTTACATTACTACAGATATTATTCACTTTTCTATGTGCTGTCTCTCTAATACACATTACAGACAATAATAGTCAAACAATAACATTGTAAAAGCAATGTTTGTATTGTCAGATCAAAATGATGGCTATAGGGGACGTAATAATAGCAAATTTATTTAGTCAACAATAAGTACTAAAATAAGTCATTGCAAATGCTTGACACCCTTACCCTTCCCATCATTGGACCCAACACTTACTCAGGTATATGACTACTATATAGCAATAGTTGTGGTGGTATGGTATGGTATTTATGGTATGGTATGTGCACTTTGATTGAATACTCTAT